AATGGAGAGAAAGGTACCAAACCAAATGTACATGTCCTGAATGTACTATAGTACATACCATATTAAATTCTGGTTTGAGTGAAACACACCAGCCACATTATATTCTTTATTTGAAATATACCCCCAATTTCATAAAACTCTTTAACTGTGTGGCATTCTGAGCTGTTTTTTATCAATATTAGTGCAAAGTTTTGAAAGTTATTTAAAAAACCACAGCATCATTAGTCATTGGAAGTGCTTTTTCTTATTTGCTTCTTGAACTTTGCATGTTATTTCAACTTTGGCTATTTCTTTGCTTGTTTTTTGGAAGGCGTTTTATGATGCCATGCAAGAGACACTAGAAAGGGATAGCTGACAAGGAAAAAATTAAAAATTGGATAAAAAGTAAATGAATAATGTCATATTACTAAAAAGATGAGAGGCTAATTTGTGCCGACTTTTTGCTAATTTTGTTCAAGCCTCAAAATGAGGAGCTGTCACCCGTTCTGTGTAGCACTGATGACAGTGCCAATGATCCATGAAATAAGCTGCCGCTGGCTTTGTTCTGATAAGAATGAACAAATCTGCACAATGTTCGGCTCCCAGAATCTCATTTTCATACTTGCATGCAGGCTAAAAGAAATAAGCTGTTTGCAGGCTTGATTAATCAGACATTGGAGGGGTTTTTGTCTCTTTGATCTCTTTCGTCTCCTAGGTAACTTGCTTGACATTAATGTTGAGCTTGAGTAAAGACAATCAGGAATTGTCGACCAAACTGATATAAAAATTAAAGACCTTAACACTTTAAGTACTCCAGTAATGGTTCCGCTTTACTTCAGAAAACATCTGTTTTCATTTAATTAAAGAACAAAAGAGAATGGCATAAATATTTTTCATAGAGACCTATTATTCTATAAAAAGTTAAAGTATGATAATTGGTATTTTTAAATAAGTGCCTTGAAAGTGTTCAAAAGGGAGGAAAACTTTATAAATCTGTTACAAGCTAGTAATTTTGAGATGAGTAAAATATTTTATGAAATGAATAAGAAATTTACAGTTATGCTAGATTAAGCTGTTTGAATCAGATGCTTCAAATGATTATCAGCAAACTTTATGACAAGATTTTGCAAGAAAAGCTAACTTTATTTTGAAGTTTGTCTTTTAAAAATCTGTACTAGGTTACAAGGATGTGCCATTATATCTATTTTACAACCCAATATGATTTACACAGGCTAAACCTGTAAAATTGAAAGGAATTAAAAAAATGTCGCCGTGCATTTGCTTGAGGTTATGCAGACGCTTTTACAAATCTTCCAAGTGGCTGTAAAGATGAATGCCTCAAGGGTCCAGCCAGGGCCCTGCTTTTCCAACCAGCTAAAGCCCTTATCTTAAATCCAAGCAAAGTACCATTAATCTTTTTGAAAGACCTTTTATGGCTTTTAATATATCCCAAATTAGAACATTTTACACCCTTGGTTCCTGAAATATGGTGATAAAAAGCCTTTAGAGCTTAATTTTCCTTACTGCATGCTCTGACCAATTTGCAGTTCTTTGTGATAATGTTTAGACACCTTAATTAAAATGCAGCAAAATATTGGATGTTCTATATGGAAAATGCTGATACTTTGGCTACACATACAAAAAATTTTGTATGTATTTTTATTCATTTAAAAAAAATTCTTCCCACATTGTGTTGCTATAATTATCTGATGACCTGAAACTGTTTTTTTAATATAAAAATCATTGACCAAGCTTTTGTGATGTTTACATTGGGCATGAAGATGCATTTTTCTTTTTATAGAAGCGAAAGGGGGATTCTTGTCGGCCTATTTTATTTGTTTGTAATACTGAAACACAGCACGATATTCTTTTATATTCTGGAACTCGAGTTAGTCCTCTTGACTGGGAAACTACATTTCTTCTCAACCGTCTCTTCCACAGAAAGTCTTATTATCCTTTTATACTTTCAGATATTTCTGTCCTTTTTTTCTTCACAGAAATAAGTGAAACACATTCATTTTAAGCATGCGAAGGACACAAAAAAGCTATGACTTTTCATCATCATTACAAGCTAAAAGATTTTTTTCTGTAAAGAATACATAGACCAGGTTTGTTCAATGTTTATCAGTTGAACATTTCACTTAACCTAACCCAAGGTAAAATACAGTTAGAGAATATATACCTTTTACAGGAACAGGTCTGTCTGCAAGTGTTGCCCATGTACCTAATTGTTTATTATATTTATTTAGTTCACAAAGTGATGGAATAGTTGTTTAATGTGTTCTAATAAATTATTTCTAACAAGTTTATACTGTATTAAGGAATATATGTTCTAAATCTTTACTGTGATGCTGGATATGCTGGATTTGGCCTTAGCATTGCTAGAACACTAAAAGCTTTTACATTCTGAGAGGACATGACCATGTCAAAGTGAAGAGTCCATTGAAGTCGAATGACTGCGTGTCCAGACCCCTGAGATGCTTTTTGGTTTGTCTGTCCTAAATCCAGGACACTCATATTGGGAAAATGTCAGCTATATCTTAATTTTCAACAGTTTTAGAAAATAATTTTCTCACATAGTTAATGGTACGTGGCAAGTATGGTTCAGAGCATTTTTGTTTCTTACTCAAAGTATAGGCTCAATTTAAATATGAGATAAATTAGCTGACTGGGTCTTTTTTTGGTGAGTTTGGTAAAACTATATTATATGTCAAATTTTGATACATAATACATAGGAGTGGTGTTAATGGAATAATATAGATTTTTATGTTTTACCTATGGGGGATGGGAAAGAGACTAAATCGTCCACATGAATGTGGAGAGACCTATGTTTATCTTAAACACAGGTACCAAGCTGCGTTTTACATCAGAAGACAGTTTATTAGGTGCATTTACTGCTCCCCTAGCATCCCATTGTACCTCTACATTTCCCAGCCCCCTTGCATTTAGGTGGAGCCACGTGAGTAGTTCTGACTGGTGGGCTATGAGTAGAAATGTGTCACTTTTGGACTAAAGCCCTTCAGCTCTTGTTCTGCCATAGTGAACCTGAAAGCCATAAGTTGAGTTACTGGCCCCCACAAGGTGGAGAAGAGCCCTGCCTACCCACAGGGACTGTAAGTGAAACAAGAAACAAAAGTTCAGCCAGTGAGATTTGGGCATTTGTTTAATTCTGCAGTGTTGACTGCCTAACTAGTTGACAGGTACTAACTTGATACTTTATGTGTATGACAAATGGGATAGCTCTTCAGTGGACAGGAATTCCGTCTTCATGATAACTTAGGCCACAGCATCCCTTCCAGCCTTTCCTTTTCAATTGGGATGATTATGCTACAGCCCTGTGAATCGCAGCTTTTGTTTTTTTTTCACTTTGGTTCACTTAGGTGACCTTTTCTATGATAAAGAACTGGAATTAAAAAGAGAACCAAAAAAACAGAGCCGGTATTGAAGCAGTCAAATGTAACCAACAACACCTTCCTCCCAGCCTCACAATTTGAAAACTTCCTGTTTTGCTCAATGCTGTATCTCCAGCACCTAGAACAGTCCTTGGCAAAAACAGTTGTGCCTCCATAAAATTTGTTGAATGAATGTTATTCTGTAAAAAGGATGGCAACCACAGTGCTGCTAATACTGGTTTGAGTTTTGAGAAGACACTGAGGTTGGTCTGTTTTATAATTAATCATTCTTTCTTCAGTGGCTTTCCTGTTGATGTTGACCACCTTGGTGTCTTGGTTTGATTGTCAGCTTCCTTCCATTTGCTTATGTTCTTTATATGTATTCTTTCTTGGACTGAAAAATCATATCTACTTTTGCTTTCATTTATAAACTCCGGCCAGTGCTTGATTACTACTTGTCTATTTCATCCTAAAGGAAACTCTTCTCCAAGATAAGCTGAAAGACATGTCAAGCATGCCAAACCTCGCTTTCCTAAATCGGCTTCTTTCCTTACACATGTGCTGTTAACCTCCTGCCATGCAGATCCCTAAAACTTAGGCTTTAATACATTGACTTCAGAGTGGCTTCCAGGTCATTTCTTCTCTTCTACAAGTCTGCCTACTAATATGAATTAGGTTGAGTATAGGGATAGAAAAGGCAAGAAACACCAGAAAGATTTTTAGCCTTTGTTGTTTAACCTGAGTTCTTAATGGATACTCTTGAGCCATCCAGTGGGCAGGCATTTTAAAAATAAGAGCACACTAAAACAAGATGATATCACTATGCCCATCCTGGGGATCCTTGCTGTGGAATAGCTCTGCAGCCAGAAAGCTGCATAGAGCAGAGTGTGTAACTGTAAGGTCATGGCATAGAAGCTGAAGGGCTGGAGAAATACAGAAACAAGGACTATTTTAGGTTGAGGTATAGAACACTTCTGGGATGGGGGATTTCATTTTGGATGGACTTTAGTAGGACTGGCATATGGGTGTGAGGGGGTCACACAGAGGGTACTCTGGTCCTGGTACCCAGCCTTTTGCCTCTAAGCACCCCTATGTTCTTTTTACTCTCAGCGAATTAAAAGCTGTTGCCCATCATACAAAGTGCATTTATGAAGTAGTAATTAGTTTTGCCATGTTTTATTAATCACATCTATGACTGCCAATCAGAGCTTCTGATCAGCATGAGATAACTGGTGTGACCATACTGAGTTGCTGTAATTCTAGCCCAGAGCAAGGAAACTTGATGTCTCTGTCAGTCTCTGCAGCCTTATCAGGCGTAAATTCCTGCAATGCTGAAATAGCTCGAAGATCCTCATTACTACCTTTGTGGACCCTGGAGGGGCCTCTTTGGAAAGGATTTCTATCCAGGAGACTGGTATAACTAGGGGTAAAGGGTCTGCTGGGAGTTAAGGGAAATATGAGCCATATCTCTGTATTTGTTATACTTTGTCTGAGGGGGCCTAAGCATAGAATTTCTAACTTGTAGACATGGCTTTCTTATCCACAGGTTCTCAATTATTTGTATTATTGTTGTTATTGTATTTGCTGGAATATTTGTTTTCACTTTTTTTTCTTCTTTGTAATTCTTAGCTTGGTGTAAAAATTGCCAAAGCAATTGCCTGCCACAACTTCGTAAAAGCCAAAAAGGAGGCTGAAAATTCACAGGCTGCTCGAAAAAAGAAGAAACTTGCATGGGGGTAAGTTTACTTAAGGTTTTTATTAGTAATTCTACTGACTTCATACTAATTGAAGAAATCCCGCTAATGTATTTTGTGAATCCAGTTTGTGTGTAATTGTTATTCATTTTACCCTTTGTATCTTTGTTGAATGCTTATCAGATTATAAATATAAAGGCATTTCCTCATCCTGTTTGATGTTTATTTTGTAATCATTGGAGTATGACAAATTTTCAAGTTTGTCTTACTTTGGTCTCTTAGTAAACATGTTACTTTAGCAAAGTATTTTTTAAAAAATACACTGAGTATTTTTTGTTCTTCATTTTAGGTTTGAAGCAAAGAAGAGATGGGAAACCAAAAGCAACATGGGATATATGTAACTTGTCGGAGTTCTTCAAGACATGTGTAGACTCAAGTGCTCAATTTACTGAAAAGATCTTCCTGCTTATGTTAAATATGTCAGGAAATTGAAAAAAGTAGAAAAAAATCAGCATAAAATTTGGGAGTTGATTATCAGCTCTTTTCAATCTTTCTCTCAAGAATTCATCCTACTGAAGTGAATAAAATGAAGCATTCTGTTATTTGTATGAAGAAATCTAAGAAAAAGTATGGAAAAAAAGGATGGGATTTTATTTATTTGTATAGACATACAGTATAAAATCAATTTTGCTTTTTATCCATTTGGTATAGCATAGCCAGTGAGCTCCTTGTACTTTCTTATCTGTACTTGGTACAACTACACTTTTACTGGAATTGTGTTTTTAAGATTGGCAAGTATTTATAATGGATTAGTCATAAGTGCAGAAACATCTCAATTGATACTGTCTATACAAATGATTTTAATTAATATTATAAAAGTAATTATTGATTTTCTATTGAAGGCAATAGAATTGATATTTCAAAATTATATAGTAAAAGCAATTGATTAATTTTTGCATAGCTTACAATAAAAAAGGGACCGAATATAGTATTTGGAGGATGATTTAAATTGAACTTTGCCTAGAAGTATCTTCCTAAATATCTTTCTCGGCTATATCATTCTTTAAATTATAAGGTGGTTCTTAGAAGGGAAAATGGTATAATTGTATTAAACAGTTATAACTCAAGATAATACAACTTTGAACCTTCTAAGACCTCGTTTGTTTTTACTCCTGTTTCCCACTACTCCTTAAAAGATGGAATGAATTAATGAGGAGAAAGGGAGGATTGGTACTATAGGAAGTAGTTTTCGTTAGATGTGTGTGCTTCTTGGCCTTCTTGAGAAGGAGCTTGGAGGAGGGACATGACAAGCTGGTAGAGAAAACCACAGTTGGATGTTTTGGCACCTCCCTACTCAGTGCTCAGTAGAGGTAGAGAACTACGTACTATGGTTTGCATCACCTCCTTTCCTCATCCTTTGTTAGAGGTTTTCTAGCTGTCTGATATAAACTTCCTCTGGGTTGATAATATAAATTCAGGAACATATAAAATAAGACATCATAATTATATTACTGTTATTTTTAGACTTAGTAACAAAATTTTACCAATTAAATGATGACACATTTAATGTTTTTTGTGTGTTCTGGAATAAGTGAATACCTAGTTGCTATTTAAGAGTCTAAAAATCATATCTTGTTTCCATTTAATTGAGAAAGACAGTCTAGAGAAAGCAAACTTTTAGGAGATTGTGTATCATACTAATTCAGTATGAAAAGTTATCCAGACCTCCGAGATAAGCTTGGAAAATCTTATATTTTATGATTTAAAATTCCCAGTTCCATTTTATAGATATAATCATGTACAGTTTACCTACAATATCCACTTCAAACTGCTAGTAGGTAAATATAAACTTACAGGAACCTTTCCTCTAAAAATCCTTTATGGGAGAAATGTCTACTACACTGTCCAGTGGTTTTGTCTGAAGCATTAAAAATGTTATTTTTGAGCAGGCGAGTGGTATAGATATTCTCACACACGGGCCTGACACAGGCATTTCCCTTTGGCCTCTGCCTCATGTTTCTTTTCCCATATCCACTACTTACAGCACTGAGTGACATACCTACAGGCACGTCTCACTGCTCAAGCAGAGGCCTTGAGCACAGTGGCCTCCTGTAGGGTCTGTTCTGGGAGCCTGTCCAGCCACGGAAGCCCTCCTTCAGCCCACTCCAGTGCCAGGATTGCTCCTTCAGCACCCTACCCAGGGTTCTCACGTAGAGGGGAGCATTTCAACTGAGTGGAAGGCATTGTGGTGGAATCGGATATAGCAGGGGATCCATTTGATAAGGGAAGCTACATCTCCTAAGTCCCCACTTTTTGGGGGGCATGGGTTGTGGAAAGCTCTAAAACATTATGGCGCAGCAGAAGAGAAAGGATGGGAGCAAAGTATTTGGGGGAGAGGAAGGGACATGTTGTCCTGGGTTGGCCCTGCTGGCATATCATTTGAGACCAGTTTTATTTGATCAGCTTTAATATGAATTAGACATTTTACTCATTAAAGCAATAAAATGGGAACATTATTCCTAGAGTACCTGTGTTGCCTAAGGGGTATAGTCATTTGTCCTCTCCATTCTGGTCATGGCAAAATAAAGATTCTTTTTGGATCAGTAATAACTTCAGTTCCTAAAGCTTTAACATGTGCATTTACTACCACCAGAATGCCTGAATTAGATTAGTAATGTAAACGTCAGTTATTGTTAACTGAGATTAATATGTTTCAGGCCATCGGTATGGCATTAATGTAACTGTGATTTACTATTTAAGTACTTCAGGCTAAAACAACTTACTAAACGACAGTAATTTTGAGCTTTACAGTACTGGTTTGGAGAAGTGAAGTTGGCAGTACATTCTTGTTTGGGAGCCCTCAGGGTGTTTCTGATCAGCAGAACATTCTATTTCTTTTACCAAAAGGAGAGTTTGAATATGTAATCTTAGGTTTGCTATAATTAGGTCTGATGACAGAGTTAAATACCTCGGCCAAGAGTATAAATCACTACTTAAACAGGTTTCTGCAACTGATCATAAATCTTAAACTCCATATTTTAAACACTTATTTTTTTAGGCAGACAGATAAGGGAGGAGCACGCCAAGGACAAGAATAAAATGTTATCTGAACTTTAACAGCTTAGAACCTCACATCTAAAATACTATCTTTTAAATATTTTAATAACTTAGTAACTTTAATAAGATAACGTTTTAATTCTGAAAATATGAAGATACAATTTGCAAAATGTCTACATTTTAGATATTAGGTAAAGACACTACTTTTAAGAAATGTATATCTTACAAACTGTAAAAAATACTGGATGAGGTTGATGTTTAAATAAAATGCAAATTGTGTGTTATTTCTTTAAGAGAGATTAGGGGAAGCAAGCTGATGTTATGTCAAATCCCATTTTGGAAAATTAACTTAGTGAAGCCTACTAGTCAAATTCAGAACCCACTGAATTCAAAGTTTTTCCATGTTGGCAGAAGTCACTTTTATTTTTAGTATCTGGCAGAACAACAAATGCTTTGCATGTCAATTTAATATTTTTTCAAGCCAACTGTTTATTCATTGGCTTAAAATTTACACTCTACTAAAGTCTTAGTTCTGACTTTCATGAAACAAATAGAAATATTTGGACAAAATATGTACATTAAAATCTTTTTCCAAAACCAAATGTAGATTGGCATTTGTGGCATCAGTGCCTTCTAACATGGCATCAGTCTGAAAGTACTTTGAAAAGTCTAAGGCATTGTACACCCACAGCAATGCATTTCAAGTAATTAATTTTTATTATAAGGTAACATCTTTCTAGATTTTCAAATTTAAATGAAGAGTCTTTATGCTAAAAAGTAGAATATGTGCTAGAGTAAGTTTCCATGAACTATCAGGAGATATTTTTATTAATATATATTTGTTCTTGACCTTCATTGCATACTGAGACAACAAGGTCCAGTTTTCGTTTTTGAGGTTGGGGTACTCTGTAAATATTGATAAAATGAGCAGAACTTCATTCTGTGGTTTTTATTATCTTATCCTCCTTCCACACTACTCACCTTAAAAGAAAAAAAAAAACATGCATTTCTTAGTGTGTAGCTGTAATCAGCACAGAGACTCCCTGGGAGGGGATTTTTGCCTTCAGTAAGGGACGTGGCAGCATGTGGCCGAGGACGATTGCCATGAGGAAACTGAGGAGTCGGACCGTTTTGCTCTAGTATTAAAATTAAGCGTGTCTCCCCTTCAGCAGTCCCTCCTACCCACTTGTGAGTACTCTGGAGGTATGTGTTCACTTTGCTGGAATCTCTTCAAATACAGTGGTGCTGTCAGAGTAGCTTCCTGCCACACTGGCTTTCGTGATCTTAATCCCTGAAACACAATTATAGGCTTCTGGGGGTACAGTTTATTAAATGCCACGCAGTATGCTGTGTTTTCAGATGTGCTTATAAAATCGAGAATTAGCTGAGGGATAATTATCTTTTTATTAGTATTGGTAACTCGTTTTTAGATTCAAGTAGAAGAAGCATAAAATTTTTCTAAGAGAGATGGCATTTTTAAGGAACTGAGTTTAAGTGCATGTCTTTTATATCCAGACCAGGTTTCTTCAGGAAATACAGAATACAAAGGAATGAAAGGGGAAGGGAGGGTAGTGCCCTAGAGAGGCCTCGGCCCCTAAGTGCTCCTCTGCTGGGTTTCCCCTGTGCGTGCTCACTGGCACCATCCTGGCAGCTCCAGCCCACACCTCCTGGGTCCACGGGCTGCCTCCTGCTGAATTGCTGCAGGAGGCCTGCTGTGTGACAGGTATGGAATGAGGTAATCTTTTTCCACCTCTAATTTCTGAAGGGTGTGTCTGTCCAGTTATTACTTGTTCACTGAATTTAAAGCTTTAGAAAGTAACAGCTACAGTACAAGCTGTAATTATTGATGTCTGTTTCATATTCATCTGTAAGTTCTGGCATTTGATCAAGAAGTTAATGTATCACTTCATCTTCAGGCTGAATGCCTCAGCTATAAAGGTTTTATTGTTTGATGGATAGCATATAATTATGACTGCCCAGAATAAAAAGTGTTTTCATTTGTAAGGTGGGCGATACTAGAAGAAGTAATTATGAACGTCACAGGGAATAGTGAAACAATGAAGCTTTGCGTTTGTTTTTCATCTTGAGACAGGGTCTCTTTCTGTTGCCCGGGCTAGAGTGCCATGGCGTCATCATAGCTCACAGCAACCTCAACCTCCTGGGCTTAAGGGAATCCTCCTGCCTCAGCCTCCCAAGTAGCTGGGACTGCAGACACATGCCACCACACTCCACTAATTTGTTTTTTGTAGAGATGAGGTCTCCCTATGTTGCTCAAGCTGGTCTCAAACTCCTGGCCTCAAGTGATCCCCCTACCTCAGTCTCCCAAAGTGTTAGGGTTACAGGCTTGAGCCACCATGCCTGGCCAAAGTTTTCTTTGACTTTCTCCCTACGTAATTTAAGAGAAACATTTATTGAATACCTACTATATGTCAGATACTAAACTAACTTGCAGATTCAAAGGTGGATCAGCATAGTCTAAT